TTGTGTGCACACTGGGCAACTGAAAATGCTCCTCTTAATCCTAACACAGAGCTTTGTAACCCCTTAGTTTCTAGATTGGCAACAGCAAAAGATGTGATGTTGGATTTGGTGTTGAATTCATGAGTGATTGAGTGGGTCTATAAATTTTCTAGCTGCACAAAAGTCTCCACTAGAACATATGGAAACACAGCTAAATCTTTAGCAGGCAAAGATTGATGAAAGTTAAGACATCTTAAGCAACAATGAATAAATGATACCACCTCATTAATTTTGCATTTATTGTGTCCTCATGGTGGTAAAGCAGCAACTGTTTTATCTGCATGTAGCTTATCCTTGGCTACTTGACTGATACCTTGAGATCTTACCTTTCCTTCAATCAGCAAGACAGCGTACGTGACTTCTCTAAGTCATCCTCATCGTGAGGTGGACCAGAATTGTTTAGCCCACAGCACCACCATGTCACCATGTCCCTTGAGATCTTACCTTTCCTTCAGTCAGCAGGACAGCATACGTGACTTCTCTAAGTCATCCTCATCGTGAGGTGGACCAGAATTAAAGAATGTAACTCATTCTAAATGATACCACCTCATTAATTTTGCATTTATTGTGTCCTCATGGTGGTAAAGCAGCAACTGTTTTATCTGCATGTAGCTTATCCTTGGCTACTTGACTGATACCTTGAGATCTTACCTTTCCTTCAATCAGCAAGACAGCGTACGTGACTTCTCTAAGTCATCCTCATCGTGAGGTGGGCCAGAATTAAAGAATGTAACTAGCACAGTCATTGATTGAGTTTCATGGCTAAGTAGACTTGAACCTGGATCTCCCATGTCCCAGTCCAGCACTAACTACCACACCACACCAGTTCTCGAACAGCTGACATGGTTATTCACCACTTTCTGTAGTACACCATGTTTTCATCACACGTTTCTTCAGTTCTTCTCATTCTGTGCTGTCTCCCTCTGGCTCGCTTGCCACATGACAGGTTGGGCTCCACCTCTCCACAAATAGCTTGGCTGTTTAATATTAAAACTGACTTTCACAACCTCTACACCTCACATTTTTCAATATGTTTTTGGAAGAAAGAATTTCATTAGGGTTGTAAAAGTCATTTTAAAGAACATGGAAGATGGGGAGGAGAGGGAGACAGGCAAAAGGAGAAGACTCCTGCTTTAGCAGGCCTGGTAATATGCTCTTATACATTTTACATCAGTAAATGACCTCTGGAAGGGGTTCATTTAATACAGGCCCAACATGATGTGGACTGGAAGAAACATGTTCGAGATTTTTTAGAGGAAGAACGCTGCTTCATCAACAAATCAAATGTAGACCTAACTTGGCTGTCACCTCCTTAACACGCAGGGCTCCTGTTTATATTGATGCATGGGACATTTGAGCATCAGCAAATGAATTAATAAGGCAAATTGTTTTTAAAGATGTGTTCATCTAGTGCTCATGCTGCTCCCATATGGATGCTGGCACAAAGCCTAGACACAGTGGGGTATATTTGAAAGATGACCTGCATGGCGTCAAAAGGAAACAAATGATTGGGCTGTAGACTAGATGCCTCAGTTGGTATGGGTTAGAGGACCATGGAGGGCATGAATAATGTTCCTGCCCCCTTAGATTTCTTTTGACAAGCTGAAAGTGCCATAGGAGCTCTACAACCCCAAACACTGTATGCTTTTAAAACAGCCCTCTGCATCTGAGTAGATGTTAAGCAGAGGCACCTGGAGACTATATTGGTCCTTCCTGTGAGTTGACCAAATGGAGACATAGGTCCAACATGTTTTCAAAATCACACAGGCCAGAATCGTATTGGATATTCATAAATGTGCAAGAAGACTCATGGAAGTTGCCATATACATTTTAATTGCATTTTAATTATTCTGTCCTTTTATTTTGCCTTTTTATTGTATTTTAAATGCTGTAAGCCTAAATAAATAAATAAATAAATAAATAAAATGACTAATTGACAAGATGCCCATTGTAAGTCAATTGCTTCAAGTTGTACTCTTGGCAGCTGGGGAAATTAGCTGCAATTAGCTGAAGCAACTTCTGTGGTTTCTCTTGCCTATATTCAATAAGATTTTGGCCGTGATGAGTTGTGTCTAAGCAATTGACAAGATGCCCATTGTAAGTCAATTGCTTCAAGTTGTACTCTTGGCAGCTGGGGAAATTAGCTGCAATTAGCTGAAGCAACTTCTGTGGTTTCTCTTGCCTATATTCAATAAGATTTTGGCCGTGATGAGCTGTGTCTCAGCAACTAAGAAGAGATGCTGACCAAAGTAGGAACAGAACCTTAATGATTCCATTTTGAGGCTCGTTCCTATATAGAACCCCACAGTAACCAGCACTACCATTTGCACCAGTACAAAAGTGGACAATTTCCAGAGGGTTCTCTCTGGCTTATTTTAGGCTCAAGGAGATGCTTTTTCTCAAGTCACTGCTGGTCTTGAGAGAAGCTCACACCAAGCATAAAACAGGTAGAGGGAAGAGAGCATGGTAAAATTGCTGCAGGACTGGAGGCAGATTAAATCATCATCATTTTTGGGGAGGTGAGAAGTTCTGGGAGGGCACAGCCTGCATGAGATTACTAACCCTGAAACTCTATAAAATGAAGTCATTGCACTGAATCAAACTACTGTTATTGTAGATGATTGTTAATTTATTAGTATTTTATGAGGGTTTTTTTCCTGGTCAAGTGCATACCCTTGGACTACAGCATCAAATTTTAAGTACCTCAGGAAACTACAAATCCCAACATTCTGTAAGAAAAAAACAATGTGACAATTAAACAAACAAAACAAAAAGTCCTGTGAGATGGTTAAGGCTAATAAATGCATCTAAAGTGGCTTTGGATATACTTTCAATAGGTCTTATACACGGGCTAGTGCTAGTGCTCAATCCAGATCCAGGGCTCAGGAGTTTGATCCCTCACTTTGCCTTTGGGGAGGAGAGCCAACCTTTGTGGCCTTGGGCAAGCTGCACGGTCCCAGAGCACCCCCCACCCAAAGAGAAAAGAACAGTAAACCACTTCTGAGTATTCTATAACTAAAACATCATGGGAAGAGTCATAAACTGGAATTGACATGGCAGCAAATAATGATTCAGGTTATTAGTGCTCGATCCAAACAGCAGGTGTAACCGTAACTTCTCACTCTGCAGAAAAAGCATAACTACCCAAACCGTGTTCTCTGTAATGACAACTCCCTTCTGTAGTCATAATTTATAGCATCTCTTGTTATCCTGACACCCTTCTAGTCTCTTCGCTCTGCTTATTCTTCCTCCTCATGGAACTAAGCCAGTGGTTCCCAACCTTGGGTCCCCAGATGTTCTTAGACTGCAACTCGCAGAAGCCTTCACCATGAGCTGCGCCGGCCAGGATTTCTGGGAGTCCCAATTCCTTGGGTCCCCAGATGTTCTTAGATTGCAGCTCCCAGAAGCCTTCACCATGAGCCAGGATTTCTGGGAGTTCCAATCCAAGGCCATTTGGGGACCCAAGGTTGGGAACTACTATGCTAACCAAAGCTCTTGTTTTGTCACACAATCGGAAGCAGAGGGGAGATGCAGAGTGAGAGGGTGAGTCAATCAGAATTTTTCTTCAACTGCACCACCTTTCATTCTGCTGTGGAGTTGCTTAAGGGCTATTTGTTTCACCATGGCAAAGCTTGATGATTCTGGGCGTGCACATCTTAGATGTCTTCCTTTATCCGCAGCCCACTACTTTGAATGCTGTCACATATGAAACAGTGAATTAAGTGCCCAAAAAAGGTTGGGCCCTGAAATCCCTCCTGGCCCCAGCACCACTACCATATCCCAATGATTTCTATCTTGACCTACACATAATTGTATACACTCTTTGCAATGGGGGTGGGGGTTGTTAGCTGGGCTTTGTGTTCTTGAGAACAAGAGGTCTGTTGTGGGTCCTTGGAGAAAAAAAAAAGAAACACTATGAATGCTGCATTTCTAGAAAAAGGTGTGTGTTGTATAGACAGAACATTACATAATACTACAGATATAAATATTGTACTGGCATGATTTGAGGCTTAATGGGATTATCATTTTCACATAGATACAAAATCCTGAGGCCACAGAACCTTAGTCAAACAGCAACTAGCAGCTCTGCTTTCAGCTCCTAATGAATGAGGATGCCACAGGGCAGTTCTCCGATTATGAAGGAAAATGCATTCCATATAATACTATTTCTCATCCAGATAGCGTACAGGGAGATGCAAGGGTTCTTCACAACAGGAAAGATTCCTGGTGATGGCACCAAAGGCAGCCAACTAACCTTCATATCGCCTTTACCAAACGACTCTAGCAGAGTGCATATGACCTTTTGATGTCTCTGCTTGTGGCTCACAGTGTAACTACTGTTAATTTGGTTCCCTTTTCATGAGTTTGATTCACCCCTCCAGCTGCTTGCTAAACAACAAAAACAACAAAAAATCTTCACATTATTCAATATGAGCATGATTTGCTACTGGGGTCAGTGCTACTGGGTTTATAGGGAAGAAATCGCAAAGAGTGGCTTAAGAAGGAAGACATGAGGCTGTTTGCAAGTCATGTCCCTTTTAAGTGAGCTTCCTCTTAAATCCTATTTCCAAATTAATCTGCATTTTTAAAAAGTCCATGTAAAAATTCATAACTGTGAAAAGATACATCTGCACATGCATTTTAATTTTTAACCCAAAATTTGCATCACAACTTATGGAGCAGTGTGATGTAAAATGGGCAGCATTGCTTCAGTGGGTTCAGAAGGAACAAATCATGTTAATGGGTGAAGAAAATTATAAAGAATAAGCCTTACAAGCATCTATAGACCTAAACCAGAGAGTCTCTTCATTTTTATACTAGGTCAAACAAGGAAATGCTTGGAACAGGCAACTGGAGAAAAGCATGAAATTCTTCCCATTAAGTTTGGCTGCCCAAAGCAAACGGGAAAACCCCATCAAAGTATTATTCCTAGACCTTATGTAATGCAACGAAATACTTACAGCTTCCAAATTTTAATGGACAAGCATGGGCATCCATGGGGAAGTCTTCAAGCTGCATGGGACATTCAGCAGAAATGGTCAGTCTGGAAGAGAGCGGGAGGTAGAAAGAGAGAGAAAGAAGAATTGTCATTTCCATTCAGCATAATTCACCATTCATTTAGGTTAACCTAATTACTTTGACAAACAGTAGACAGGATCTTCCCAACCTTGATAAAAAGGTTGCATTGGTAAAACCATTGGTTTTATCCGTCTTTGAGATCCTTTCTAATTTTCTTCTTTGGTGTAGTCCACACAGCAACATGAGGTGAGGGCTTGCATGTAGGACAGATCAGGTGCAATTTCAATACAGTACAGTGGACCCTCGACTTACAGACGGCTCGACTTACAGACTTTTCGAGTTACAGACTTCTCTGGCAGGAAAATTTAAATTCGACTTGCAGACGGAGGATCGACTTACAGACCAGAAAAAAAACCAAAATGAAACAAAAATAGAATAAAAACTGCCAGTTATGGGATTAATCGGTTTTCAATGCATTGTAAGTCAATGGAGAGTCAACCTACAGACTCTTCGACTTGCAGCCACTGTTCCAATACGGATTAATTCCTTAAGTAGAGGGTCCACTGTACTTCTAAGACTGCTTGAGGCACAGTTTACATATAAAGTATTTCCAAATAATGAATTGTCAAGCTACCAAACACTGAGGGATGGTTGAAAAATGGCCTATCAATAAGACATTTGCCCTTGCACTGCTCGTTGGGTTGCAATGGAACAGCAGGTTGCTACAGTCTCATGTTATCAGGGATACTTTATGTACTGAGAGAAAATCAGGGATAGGGAAAGCAAGAAGCAAAAGTAGTTTCCCTATGTCTAACTTGGGTTTGGGCAGCACAATCTGCCTTAGAAAGGTACATGGCTGCTTTTTATATGGTTTCCCCTCGCCAATTTATGCCAAGGTCTTACTCCTGGAGGATACTCAGAAGCACCCATCTACCTGATAGCGCAGTACAGTATAAAGGGTTATGGCAGCAGTGGTAGGGGATCCTTAGGGACCTCTGGGGGTTCCAAGATGGCTGGTGAGACGCGCAACGTTCAGCCACCTGTTGCCCATGCTCGCCCAAAATAAGTCACTTAGCCATGATAATAAACCAGCCCTTCCTGATTGGTTTTACTGGCTGTCACAAAAATGAGGCAAAATGTGAGTGACCAGATGGCACCCTTTAGTTATGCTTCTGGTGGTTCAGAGTTAGAGCAGAACTACTGAGAATGTGGATAATAATAGACTCCACATCTTTTGAAACTTTTTTATTACCCTTTCATTAGGGATGACCATCTCCACTAGCTTTCCCTAATGTGACACCCTCAAGATGTCTTAACTATAGTGCTTATTACCTCTAAGCAGCATACTCTCTCTCTCTCTCTCTCTCTCTCTCTCTCTCTCTCT